ACTGGCCTCCGACTCGTGGCGACGCCATGCACAATGGGGCGAAACACCACCTGGTCCTGTGCATTCCCCATGATTGATTGCAGATCAGACTTCTGCGATCTGCGGGGATCTTCTTTCTTTCTGTCTTGGCATCTGTACGTCTCTGGTGATCAACTTCCAAAAATCAGCCAAAGAAAATGCTGAGACTTACAGTGGTCCGATCCACACCGGACTGTGGGGATGACCCAGGACTGGGCCGTGTTTTGGTCTCTTGTGCATGGGGTCACCAACTCGACAGCAGCTCACAACCACCACTCAGGCTGTAGATGATACTGCTGCTTACCATCTAGTGAAGGAGCCCTGCTGGGGCAGTGGTTAAACGCTTGGCTTCCAAACAAGAGAGAGGTGGATGTTCAAACCCACCCAGCGACTACACAGGGAGAAAGACCTGGCAATCTGCTCCTGTGAAGATTACGGCCTAGAAAACCCCACGGGGTCCCTGGGATTCGGAACTGACGTGACGGCACTCAACAGCGACAACCACCGATGAAGGATGCAGGGCCCAGTCTCCCTACGGCTTTGAACAGAGTAAAGTTGGCGTTACTGCTTGTTTACCTGCAGACTTGTAAGAATACTAGGAGTGGAATCTTGGAGCACAAATGGGCAGCAGAGGGTTTCCAAGGAGTGGCTGGTGGATTCGAACTGCCGACCTTCTGGTTAGCAGCCGAGCTCTTAACCACTGCGTCACCAGGTTAAGAGATGAGGATGTTGGGACCACAGTGAGGGGCACGCCTCACAGACCCAGGAGCTCAGGTGGGCTTGGAGGTCACTCGGCTGCATGTCTGCGTTCTCCTTGTGTTTCCTGTCTGTCCCCGGGCCTTCCATGATCCCACTGGGATGTCTGCCTTCCCTGCTTCATGCTTGGTTTTCATTCCTATTAGTTGCACCACCAGAGAATTCCTAACTGTTGTGAAGGATCAGAAAGAAGGTTTTCCTCTAAAGCAGAGGTTCTAGTAGCAGCTGGACCCCTTCTGGACCTCTCCTGTTTCCCACCAACAAAGCATGAAGTCCTCACCGAAGTGTCTGAACCCCCGTGGTGGAATTTCCAGGATAGTGATCTCGGGGGTGCAGTGCCCATCCCTTCTGTGGGGAGAGGGCCTTCTGGTGACCCCGATGAGTATTATCGTTTGAGGGGGGAATAGTTTAATTTTTTCCTGATTTTAAAAATGATAAATACTATTTATCTAGGGCCGCTGTAACAAAAATACGACAAGTGGGTGCCTTTAAAGAACAGAAATGTGTTTTCTCACAGTTCTGGAGGCTAAAAGTCCAGATTAGGGTCTCAGCTGTGTGGATTCCTGCTGTGGTTTCTCTCCTGGTTTCTGGTGACTTCTGGAGATGCTTGGTGTTGCTTTGCTTGTAGATGATTCTTGCAGGGCATCTGTCTTCCTCCGTGTGGGTATCTCTGTGTCTACTCTGCAATCTTTATAAGACAACACTCAGAAGGGATTAGGATTAGGATCCACCCTACTCTGAGATGACCTTGTTAACATAACAAAAGAAACCCCTCATCTCCAAACTGTGTCACACATACAGGTACCAAAACCAAACCAAACCCATTGCCATTGAGTTGGTTGTGACTCACAGTGACCCTATAGGACAGAGTAGAGCTGCCCCATAGGGTTTCCAAGGAGCGGCTGGTGGATTTGAACTGCCAGCATTTGGGTTAGCAGCCAAGCTCTTAACCACTGTGCCACGCCACCAGGGCTCCGTATACAGGTACAGGATTTCCACATTTATTTTTATTTTTTGTGGGAAGCACAATTCAATGCATAACAACAATGTAGAAAATCCAGGCAATGCAGAGATGTTTAAAAAAGAGAATAAAACCCACTCAGAGGCAGCCAGTCGTTTGTTAACACTTTGGTGATTGGTCTTCTGCCTTTGCACATACGTAAGCAGAGACCTCTTTCAAGTGTTGAAAAGCAAAGTTGTCACTTTGAGGTCTAAGGTGCGCCTGACCCAAGCCATGGTGTTTTCAATCACCTCACATGCATGAGAAAGCTGGACGATGAATAAGGAAGACTGAAGAAGAATTGGCACCTTTGAATTGTGGTGTTGGTGAAGAATGTTGAATGTACCATGGACTGCCAGAAGAATGAACAAATCTTTCTTGGAAGACGTACAAGCAAAATGCTCCTTAGAAGCAAGGATGGTGAGACTACATCTCACATAATTTGGACATGTTGTCACAAGGGACCAGTCCCTGGAGAAGGACATCATGCTTGGTAAAATAGAAGGTCAGCGAAAAAGAGGAAGATCCTCAACAAGATGGACTGATAAAGTGGCTGCAACAACAAACCCACACGGAACAACATTTTTGAGGATGGTGCAGGATCGGGCAGTGTTTTGTTCTGTTGTACATGGGATCAGAATCAACTTGATGGAACCTAACAACAACAATGACAAGCAGAACCACACACATTTTATACAGAGGGTCTTAGTCATCTAGTGCTGCTGTAACAGAAATACCACAAGCAGATGGCTTTAACAAAGAGAAATTTATTCTCTCACAGTCTAGGAGACTAGAAGTCTGAATTCAGGGCGTCATCTCCAGGGGAAGGCTTTCTCTCTCTGTTAGCTCTGGAGGAAGGTCCTTCTCGTCAATCTTCCCCGAGACTAGGAGCTTCTCCGCACAGGAACCCCGGGTCCAAAGGATGCACTTTCCTCCCAGCACTGCTTTCGTGGTGGTATGAGGTCCCCACTCTCTGCTTGCTTCCCCTTCCTTTTATCTCTTGTAAGATAAAAAGTGGTGCAGGCCATACTCTGGGGAAACTCCCTTTACTTTGGATCAGGGATGTGACCTGGGTAAAGATGGTGTTACAATCCCACCTTAATCCTCTTTAACATAAAATTACAATCACAAAATGGAGGACAACCACACAATACTAGCAATCATGACCTAACCAAGTTGACACATATTTTTGGGGGATGTAATTCAATCCATGACAGAAGCAGTTGTAGAACTCCTGGATTTTTCATTCAATAGTATCTAGTGGAGGTTTTCCAAGTAAACAACTATAGATACACATTACCCATTTAAATATCTGCATGTTGATACATCAGTATATTTAAGCATTCTTTTCTCCGTGGACATTTAAATTGTTTCTAGATATTGCTAAACAAACTTTTTTTGAACATCTTTTAAGGAGTCCTGGTGGTGCAATCTTTAAGCACTCAGCTGCTAACCAAAAGGTTGGCGGTTCAAACCCACCCAGCCGCTCCACAAGTGAAAAGACCTGGAGATCTGCTCTGGTAAAGATTACAGCCAAGAAAACCCACGGAGCAGTTCTACTCTGTCACGTGGGGTCGCTGTCAGTCGGAATCAACTTGACGACGTGCGTTTTTGACCACAAACAACAGCATACATTTTTGCTCAAGGGACCAGTTGACCTTCTTGGTGTATATTTCTAGAAGTGGAAGTATGGGATGTAAGGGCATGTATGTTAGAAGGTTGTACCAAATACACGCTGCCAATAGGGTTTGGAAGTTGTTGTTGTTGGGTGCCGTCAAGTCGATTTTCTATTCACAGAGACCCCATGTGACAGAGTAGAACTGCCCCATAGAGTTTTCTAGGCTATAATCTGTGGGAGCAGATTACCGGGTCTTTCTCCCACAGAGCCACTGGGTGGGTTAGAACTGCCTACCTTTTGGTTAGCAGCCGAGTGCTTAACTGTTGCACCACCAGGGATCCTGGATTTGGAAATTCCACCCATGAAGAGAGCACACTCTTGGCCTCCCCTATCCGTGTGTTGTCTGTGGCTCTCAGAAAGGGGTCTGACCCATGCTGTTTCATAAGCACGTGTCGGACTCAACAATCCCTGACGGTTCCCTGGACGTGAATAATTTGACCATTTCGGCATGCTGCTACAAGGACGCTGAGCACCGTCCATTTCATGAATCTAAGACACACAGTGAACCAAACAACCTGTTTTCAAAAGCAACAAGTAAGTGATTGTGATGTGGGAGTGGACACCCTGCACACTCAGCCTGGCGTTGGGCGACAGGCATGAGGTTCCACGTCACATTCTGCCTCTTCAGGAAGATATGCAGCACGTAGCTGGGGTCCATCCACAGAATCCCACGGAATCGCAGTGGTCTGTGAAGCCAGCTCAGTGATAGGAGCTGAAAGAGCTTAGGTTATCTAGTCGAGGGAGAGAGAGGGGGTGGGAGGAGATCACTGTGTCGGCGTCTGCAGGAATACTGTAGGGTGATCATGAGTTAGCTGTTATCCTTCTACATCTGGTGGGACGGAGGAGCGGGCTGGTTGAGCAGCGGGTGATTCATCATCCTAAAAGACTTCTTGGACAAAGGAGCTGAGTTCCATGGAAGGTGATGAGGTCTCACCATACAATCCCAGAGAGCTTAAATGAAGAAGAAACCCTTGATGTCTGGGAATGTTGTTACACTTGGAGCCTTGACTTGGTAGATCTTTAAGTTGAGGTCTTTGTTCTGTGACATGAAACCCAAACCAGGTGGCCATTGAGTTGACTCTGACTCATGGTGACCCCATGTGTGTCAGAGCAGAGCTGTGCTCCATAGGGTTTTCGTTGGCTGGTTTTCGGGAAGTAGATCATCAGGGCTTTCTTCTGAGGCATCTCAGAGTGAGCTTGAACCTCCAACCTTTCAGTTAGCAGCCAAGCGCATAATCCATTTGCTTCACCCAGGGACTACGCTCTGTGACATACCAAACCAAATGCTTTGCTGTTGAGTTGATTCCAACTCATAGTGACCCTAGAGGACAGAGTAGAACTGCCCCATGGGGTTTCCAAGGAGCAGCTGGTGGATTTGAACTGCTGACCTGTTGGTTAGCAGCCTGAGCTCTTACCCACTGCGCCACCAGGACTCTGTGAGGAAATCTTCCCAGTTTGCTTTATAATCAGTTGTTCACTGAAACTAGAGGACGCACTCCTAATGCTCCCACTCACGTCTGTGTTGTTCTTTCCCCTTGTCTTCCTCAGCCTCCCGACAATGGGCCGCCACCGCTACCCACCTCCTCTCTCCCTGAAGACTATTATGAGGAAGCTGTGCCACTGAGTCCTGGGAAGGCTCCAGAATACATCACGTCAAGTGAGTGTTGGGCTCTACTGGCCAGAGGTGGCCTTTGGGTTTGCATGACCTTGCTGTTGTCTGGGCATGAAGGAAATGGAGGCATTAAAAAAATGCTACGGAGATGAGAAGTTAAGTAAATTTTGACCCCAAAGAGGTAAAGACAGAAAGGGTTTATAAAAGTCTAAAACAAACAAAAAACCAAGCCAGGCGCCATTGAGATGACGCAACTCACGGTGACCCCATGTGTGTCAGAGTAGAACTGTGCTCCGTAGGGTTTTCAGTGGCTGATTGTTTGGAATTAGATCACCAGGCCTTTGTTCCATTGATAAGTCTAAAGTACCTTACAAGTGCTAGAGTGGATCTTATCGTCATTAATTCAACAACAGCAAGAATCACCAGAAATTAAGACGATGCTGTCCGGGCCGCCAGGTGCTGGCTGCTGTGCCTGTTACCTGTGGATTTAGCACAGTGGGCATGTGCGTTCAGGGCCGCGGCCCAGGTCAAGTAACCACAAAGCAGTTGCTAGTTAAAGGGTAATGTCTCTCTTTAAAGATATAAAAAAATAGCTTTGAAGTGATGCATCCAAGGCTCAGACGGGTGGCTTAAAAAACGAGTAGTCCAAATCAGTCGCAAAGTGGTCATTTATCTGGCTTAATGGGCTTTTGAGTCAACTATATGGTCCCTGGTGGCGCGAATGGTTAAGTGCTTGACAACTCACCGAAAGGTTGGCGTTTCAGACTCGCCCAGAGGTACATCAGAAGAAAGGACTGGAGATCTGCTTCTGGAAACTCACAGCCTTGAACCTTGTGGAGCAGTTCTATTCTGACACACATGGGGTCACCATGAGTTGGAGTTGACTCGATGGTAACCGTTTTTTTCTTGGTTCAGCTATGAAATATCAATTTACCATTTAAAAAAGTGAATTATGAATTAGCTTTTATAAAGGTCCTTCTTAAAGAAGGCCCCGTCACTTCAGCTAAGCATGGATCTGTCACTGTTTTCCCAAGTACCGTCTGGATCGGAGAGAAGTGTCTCCGATAGCATTTTGTTCTCGGAAACGTCCCGTCAGACTTTCGGTCACTGGAATTGTTCTCTCCCCCTTGGCTCGGAATAAGTGAGATGCTGTTGCTGTGGAGCAGAGAGCAGTGAATGAAACAGCTTTGTGACTCTGTTTTGTGGTGCATACTGCACACTAAACCCACCCGCCATCTTTTTTTTCTAAACTGTGGTAAAGTATGTATAACAGAATACTTGCCATTTTAACCATTTCTGAGCTTACAGCTCAGCGACACTCATTACACTCACCATGTTGGGCGGCCACCACCACCGTCCATCTCCAGAAGTAGGAGAAGGAAATCCTGAGTTTCAGTCAGAGGCCCGTGGACTTGATCTGGTTAGAGACTTGCTCAATCCAGAGGGAAAATGTGCAAATAAATGGGGAATGTGGGAGCAGAGACTGAGTCTAAGGGAGGAAACCTTAGAGACTTTGTAGCTTTCTGTCTCTCTGTCCCCTACTCTGTCTCTGTGTCTCTCCTCTCTCTCTCCCTGTCTCTGTCTCTATCTCTCTCCTCTCTCTCCTTATCTCTGTCTCTGTCTCTCCTCTCTTTCTCTAGCTTGCTAGCTCACTCTGTGTTCCTCCCTTTCTGTCTGTCTTTCTCTGTCTCTGTCTTTCTCTCCTCTCTCTCTCCCTCTCTGTTTCTGTAAAAATGGCATGGTGGCATCAGACCTCCTCATCTAACTTCACAAGGGGAGGAGAGAGAATCACCATCACCATTAGCCCAAGGCCGACTCCTATGAGGTGGAGGTGAGACATGCCTCCTCTCTCCAACCTTTTTATCAGTTCTGACACAGCTGTCCCTCCCACAGCACTCTCTACTTCTCTGCTGAGTTTAATAATTTGTTGCAATGGCCACACAGAACTCCCAGACCATACTCACAATTGTAGGGTTTATTAGGGAAGTAACAGGTTACAGTTCAGGATCAGGAATGACACAGGATTCAGTTCTTCCATCAGGAAAGCCTCTTCTCAGCTGTGCCCACAGGCATGCCTCTCCCTCAGCCCCTCGGCCCCTCGGCGTGGCTTCTGCCCTGCTTGGGCAAATGTTACAAAGCTGTTTAGTTCCACCAGTAAGTGCCTGAGGTCACCCCACTCTGCCCGTAATCCTCGGCCCAAAGGTGCTCAGCTCTCTAGCTCCGTGAGTCAGCTTGCCTGCTGTAGCTACCTTGCTTTGAGAGCCAGGAAGGCCACTGTCCTGTCTCACGCTGGTCTCCTTGTTCTGCTGCCGCTGTTTCTCCGTCGCTGGACTCTGCTGTGCTTGCCGCTGCTTCTCGCCGTCTTGTGCCACCTCTGGTGTTACAGCTCTCTTCTGTCACCTGGTCTAGGAGGTTCTCAGTGCAGGTGCCGCTGGTCCAAAGGCACACTCCACTCCTGGCTCTTCTCATGGTAGTGAGGCGTCCCCTTTCCCCTTCTGGGATTGACTCCCTTCATGCCTAGTGGAATCGCAACGCTGACCAATCCACTACAAGGGCTCCATACAACCTATTTGCATGGTCCCACCCTGAAAGGTTTCTATGCACTTTATTTGCATTATTAGCAGGCTGTCCAATCCCTTGGATGGGCCACAAGCACCTTATTTGCATAGTCCCACCCAGTCATTGTGTGGGAGTCACAAAGACTATGGCTGGAAGAACCATATTAAGTAATTCATTGCACTGCAGTCTCTCCCTGTGTCTCTGTCTGTCTTTCTCTCTCTGCATCTCTGCCTCTGTCCTTCTGCATGTCTTTCTCCCTCTCAGTCTCTCTGATTAGAACTCTTCTTTTATCATGTAAATGAATCTCTCATTTGACTTCCAAGCAATTTCTCCAGTTGTAATTAACATGTGAGTGAGGAGCTGTCCTGGGAGTTGGCTGCTCCTCCATGTGGGGGAGGGAGAGAGGCTCTGCTCGCCTCCTGGGGTGGGGGAGGAGAGGAGGTGGGCAAGGAGGCTAGAAGGCCTAGTCCCAATCGCCAGGGGTCTCAGACCAGTGGAGTTTCTTCCTTTCTAGGAGATTTTGAGAGCCAGTCTGCCTGCATCCAGGGGGCCGGGGGTGAGGTGGACTCCCTCCCCCACCAGCCCAGCTCCAGTCAGAACCCTAGGCCCACACTTCTTAATGCAGAGGTCCGGCGGGGGGCGGTTCCCAGAACTTGCCTGGGGTTATAAGAATCACGGGAACACCTGCTGAAAAATACAGACTCCTGACTCTCCTGGATCTTTCCCCTCGTTGTTGTTGTTGTTGGGTGCTGTTGAATCGGTTCCGACTCGTGGTGGCCCCACGCACAACAGAGTGTGACACTGCCCAGTCCTGCGCCAACCTCACAATCGCTGCTATGCTTGAGCTCATTGTTGCTGCCACTGTGTCAATCTGTCTCGTCGAGGGTCTTCCTCTTTTTCGCTGAGGCAAGACCAGAGCAGCACCCACGCACAGGCTCTCGGGCAGAAAATGATTGAGAACAAAACAAACAAGCTTCTCCATCATAGCCTTTTTTTCCTTGCTTCCTCTGTCATCTGGGTTTTGCCAGAAAATCTGCCTAAATTATGCTCATCCTGACTGCAGCTATTGCCCTGGCATGCACACATCCAGATAGGAACAGCAGGCTGACGTCGGAAACCCTTTTCGTAATGACCACCCGGGATTTATTTTTGAATCACTGGCGTTATTTCTGCCCTCAGCATCTGGTCAGCTGGGGCCACTGTCCTGTGACAATGACGTTGGAGTAGAGGGTCTGAGTAGGTGCTCCCTCAGGGAGCCCCGGATGCCTTTGGTTTCACTCTCCAAGTGCTGCTGTAACAGAAATACCACAAGTGGGGGGCTTTAACGAACAGAAATGTGTTTTCTCACAGGTCAGCAGGCGAGAAGTCTGAATTCAGGGCACCAGCTCTAGGGGAAGGCTCTCTCTCTCTCTGTCAGCTGTGGGGGAAGGTCCTTGTCTCAGCTTCTGCAGCCCTGGCGTTCCTCGGTTCCTTAGTGGTCCTCACCTGGTAGCGGCATCTGTCTTCCCCCATTTATGCTGGCTTCTCTCCGTGTCTGTGCTGCTCTTACTTCCCTCAGCAGAGATTGGTTTAAAACACCCTCCACTCTTGTGAAAATACTGAACTTGTCAAGGATTTCATTTTACTTGGATCCACAATCAACACCCATGGAAGCAGCAGTCAAGAAATCAAACAACATATTGCATTGGGCAAATCTGCAGCAAAAGACCTCTTTAAAGTGTTAAAAAGCAAAGATGTCACTGTAAGGACTAAGGTGCAAGACCCAAGCCTTGGTGTTTTCAGTTGCCTCATATGCATGTGAAAGCTGGAGGATGAATAAGGAAGACCTAAGAAGAATTGATGCCTTTGAATTAGGGTGTTGGTGAAGAATATTGAATGTACTGTTGCCTTAGTCCTCCTGTGCTGCTATAACAGAAATACCACAAGTGGATGTCTTTAACAAAGAGAAATTTATTTCTTCACACTAAAGTTGGCTAAAAGTTCAAATTCAGGGTGTCAGCTCCAGGGAAAGGCTTTCTCTCTCTGTCAACCTTCTCATCAATGTTCTCCTGGAATAGGAGCTTCTCTGCACAGGGACCCCAGGTCCAAAGGATGCACTCTGCTCCTGGCACTGCTTTCTTGGTAGTATGAGGTCCCCCATCTGCTCCCCTCTCTCTTTTATATCTCAAGAGATTGCCTCAAGACGCAGTTCAATCTTGTAGACTGAGTCCTGCCTCACTAACACAACTGCCACCCATCCTCCCTCATTAACGTTATAGAGGCAGGATTTACAACTTTTAGGAAAATCACACAATACCAGGAATCATGGCCCAGCCAAACTGATACACACATTTTTGGGAAGACATAATTCAATCCAATTACAATTACAACTTAATCCCCCAATGTGTCAGTTTGTCGTACTGTGGGGGCTTGCGTGTTGCTGTGATACTGGAAGCTATGCCACTGGTATTCAGATACCGGCAGGGTCACCCATGGCGGACAGGTTT